CTGATTGTATTCCGCTACTCATGATATTTGGGTCAGGCCTATGGGCCTCTTAGCATCAGAGCCAAGTGTGGATTATTCTCACGCCAGGTTTTCCTGAGAAGCATCAATGGAAGTTAAGGTGTGTGACTCCGGTTGTCAGGACAGCTATATAGACATCATATTGTTTCTTAGGAGGCAAATGAAGCTGTGGCTGAGACTAGTGTCATCAGCGAGTAGGCTGAGACATAAGGGCTGGGGAGCTCTGGTTTGAATTTCAGCAAGTCAGGTGACTCCCTCAAGCCCCACCCCCAATCAGTCAGTGGTTACATTGTTGTCCAAACACAAGGCACAGTGTGTGCCACCCTGCCTGTTGCTGAGTCTAGCACGCTTACCTAGGACTCAGGATCTCCCTATTTCAAGTTGTTTCATAACCCTGCTGCCCTGCTGCTACCCAGGTAGTCTATGAAACACACTGGCCCCCTCTTGCCTGGCCAACGTCAACTGACTTCTCTTTTCTCCCCATCAGTGTGAAAGGAAAATGAGATATCTCCACACTACCCATTGGTGTGAAAGTCAAATGAAGTCAAAAGCATCTTTGCCCCCAAAGTATGCCCTGGAGCTTCTCGTCGTGTATGCCTGGGAGCATGGCAGTGGCGTAGAGGATTTTGACACTGCCGAAGGCTTCCGGACGGTCCTGGACCTGGTCATCAAATACCCACAGCTCTGCATCTTCTGGATGGTCAACTACAACTTCAACGAAGAGCCGATGAGGACATTCCTACTGACCCAGATCCGGAAAAAGAGGTGTCTGTGCCCCAGCCTCCCAGCCTCCCAGCCTCCCACCCTGTTGTGAATTAACCCGATTCCCTTCTGTGCTATTTCTTCCATGACCTGGATTCTTCTTCCCAGTATCTGGTTCATTCCCAGTGTGAAATTGAGAGAGGAGCTGCCAGAGAGTAAACCCAACCTCGGGAGTGGGAGGGACTTACCAATCAGAAGGGGGAGGAGTTTGCCAACCAGGAGTGGGAGGGGCTGGCCAACCAGGAAGGTTTAGAAGCAGAGGATGCCTGCATTGCTTTTTAACTGTTCTGCTGTCTGGAAATGTAAAATGTGTGCGATAGCCTATCTGAGAGTAGTCTGAGGTAACGGGATATCCCTGAGGAACAGCATTGCCATTCCCAGGCCCATGTGTGCACAGCACAGCAAGTCAGAGGTCCACTTTTGGGAGTCAGCTCTCTCCTCCTACACTGTGGGCCCTAAAGGATCAAAGTCTGGTTGTCAGACTTAACATAAGCTCCTTTTACCATTTAGCTAGCCCCTATTATTAGCATCTTCATCAGATCTGCTTTTCTCTTTCAGAACTAAAAGAGTAATAAGGAATTCAGACAGGGTGGTACCTGCCACAGTTCCAACACTTCAGAGGTTGAAAGCTGGAAGATACTTTATTTTATTTTTAGGTTTTTTGAGACATTCTCTCTCTCTCTCTCTCTCTCTCTCTCTCTCTCTCTCTCTCTCTCTCTCTCTCTCTACATAGCCTGTAGAACTCACTATGTAGACCAGGCTGGTCTCAGATTCACAGAGATCTGCCTGCCTCTTGCCTCCAGAATGCTGGTATAAAGGCATGCATCTCCACTGCCCCAGTCTGGAGGATCTTAAGGCTATCTTACAGGATAGCCTTGTCTCCATAACAACATCTTGACTTAAAGGATAGCCTTGTTTGTGTAGCAAGATTTTGTCTCAAAAGCTTAAGTAAGGGGGAGGGTCCTCAGACTGTACTCTCAGTACTATGAATAGGGAACAAATATGATGGAAGAAAGGAGGGAAGGGAGAGAAAACAAGAGCAAAGGGAAGAAACAGGAGTGTGAAGAACAGGTGCTCTAGACAGACAGACAGACAGACAGACAGACAGACACACACACACACACACACACACACACACATACACATACACACACACCCTCCACCCCACTCCCACCAGTGCTGGCCTACTTAGCAACACAGCATGAGACAACTTGTCCTTGGGTGAGCCTCTTGAAAGAGGTCATCACTACAGTTCACCATGTAAGGCAAATTAACAGCTTTGGGAAAGGTTTTGGCTTTCAAATACAACAATTCTAGGAAGTTACTTTGACTCTAAAGTAGATTCAGATTGCTTGACCTGAGCTGGCAGGATACATTGTGTCATTGATTCAAATAGGACCAACCCCCAATACTGAGGCCAGAGTTCTTGAAAATAACACTTTCATCCTTTCTATCTCTTCTTCAGGCCTGTGATCTTGGACCCAGCCGATCCCACAGGCGATGTGGGAGGAGGTGACCACTGGTGTTGGCATCTTCTAGCTGAAGAAGCAGAGAAGTGGCTATCCTCCCCCTGTTTTGACTCGAAACCAGGACAAAGTATACAGCCATGGAAAGTGCCAGTAAGAGTGCCCTGAAAAAAGTGGGTGGCCTGTCACAAATCAATCAAAGGGCTTTCTAGCTAGAGTGATTTGAAATTATTGAGCACCCCAAAGAATTGAAAACTGTACTCCAAGAGTTCAGTAAGTCATCTCCCATGCCCCAGGTACCTAGAAACCCAGAGACAGGTGAGGGAGTGGGGACTGGTCTCTCCAGGAGGGATCTTGCAGCAAGGCTATCCTGTCCTATCTTTTGTCTAGACAGTGCCTTGTTCCCTATTGGTGCCTTCATGCCAACACCACTCATGTGCCCAATCAAAATGCCTGCAGACACTGTCCATTGTCCCCTGGAAGTAGGGACACCACTCTCTCTGGTGCTTACTCTTTGGGACTATCCTCTTTGGCTGATTTTATCACATGTAACCTTGAACCCCAAGTGGGATATGTGGACAGTGCAGCTTCCTCAAGCTGAAAGATGGAAAAAGAACAGATAACAGAGAGGGGGGATCCTGAGGCAGGGTGGATTGGGGTGGGGGGACCTGGGGAATTGGTTCAGCAGAGTTCAGGACCCACAAAAATGCAGGGTGCTTGTGGTAGCCTGCCTGTGATTCCAGCCTTGGAAGGCTGAGTCAGCTGAATCCCTAGAGCAAGCCAACTAGCAAAGCTAACAATGTGGGCTGGTTCTGGGTTTGATTGTCCGAACCTGCCTCAATAAATAAGGTGGAATAGTGACAGAGGATGAGTCCTCACAGCATCCTGTGGCCTTATATATGTAGACATAAGCATTCGCACACACGAAAAAACATGCATACAAATGGCATATGCATGAACACACATGCAAACATGCATATAGATGCATGTAACACTGAGAGAGAAAATAGAAAAAAAGATGACACATAATAAGCATATTAGGTTAAAAGCTTCACAGACGAATTCCCACACTTTTAAAAACCTAGAATTGTCACATGGCCACTTGTGACTTTGAAAGTGGCTACCAAACAGTGGGTAAAGTTGTGTCTCTGAATGGTTAGAGCTCGTTCCTCCTCCACCCGAGACACACCAGGCACAGCCCTCCAGGCTACCCTGCCTCAGGCAGGCACATTTTCTTCTTTCTTCTGTCCCTTCCTGCCACTGTTGACATCTGGGGACAAGTCAAGAGAGCTGTGTTGTGCATTGAGAGATGCTGAACACTGTCCCCTGGAAACATGTAGATGTTTCCAGGTTGCAACCTGAGACATTGTGTGGTGTCTTCTGGTGAGAGAAACTTGGTCCCAGGTGAGACCTGTACCTCAGGGGTGTGTCCCTGCCTTCACCTGCCAGCCCACATTAACAAGGCTGATACTAGCTGTCAGTTTGTTGTTCTGTTTAAGTGTCTCTGGGTCAGTTTCCCGAATATGCTTTCCAGATTCTTCTCTGGAAACAGGTTCTCACTGTGTAGCCCTGACTGACCTGGAGCTTGCTATGTAGACCGGGCTGGCCTCTAACTCACAGAGATCTGCCTGCCTGTGCTGGGATTAAAGGCATGTACCACCACACCCTTCTTTAAGTCCCCATCCCACCTCTCTTTCTCTCCCCAGGTAGTGCAGACCCCAGGAAGCTGTGGAGCTCAGATCTACCCCACTGTGGCTGAGGGTAGACCAGTTGGAATCCAGCTCTGGAATGAAAATGCTGGAAGAAGTTTCTAGAGTTGTCTAACAATTGATTTAAAGACTCAGTCTATGTTACAAAAGGGAACCAGGTCCAGTCCTCCCTGGCTGCCGTACTCCCTGGCTTCAGGGCTCCCTGGCTGCAGTGCTCCTTGGTTTCAGGACTCCCTGGCTGCAGTGCTCCCTGGCTGGCCCCTACTTCTCTCTCCTGCACTCCCAGATGACTGCTTAAAATCAAGACTTCAGATCTGCTCCCTCCCACCCCCCGCGCCCTACCCGGGGGTCTCTGTGGACACCTCTCTGTGCGACTGATCTTCAGAGATACATGCCCCCATGCAGCATGCTGTGTTCCAGTTCTGTGTGTTTTTTCTGTCTCCTTCTCTACACATCTCTCTCCAGCTCCAGACTCACCCTGTGTCACCAAAGTTCAGCCCCTCCCTTGCCCTTCCTTTCTGCCAGTCCCATTTAGCTCTGAGTCTTTCACTGAACCTTTGCCGAACTCTTCCCTCCAACCACAGGCCTTTCCTGCCTGTGTGGAGGCAGAAGGTTCCCCCCAGCAGCCAGCCAACCCCCTCCTTCCACCTCTGCTGTTAAAACCCCTTCTCTTGGGGAAATGTAAATAACATGTATCCCTCCTCCTAAGGTCCCAGGACAAACCAAGTGTGCTTCTACCAGAGTTCCCGCTAAGGAACCAAGGCATTCATCGGGTTTACCTGCAGCACTCCGGTGAGGGGAGCACAGGCAGGAGCATGGGTGACTTGAAAGCTGCCACACCGGAATGTCCACACCTACCATGAGTGATGGCTTCTCCGGGGCTGCCTAGAAGGAAACCCTTCCCCTCATCTTTGCCCTTATATACTCTAACTCCTCTCAGAGACCACATGTAACTAGGGTAGAATAGCATACCACTGGTTGGGACTGGTTGCTGGACACTTAGGTGAGGGTCCCATTAACCTTCCCCTACCCATCCCCCTTCCAAGAGGGAAGATCAACAGTCAGCGGGCCCAGCCTTGATATCCTCTGATAAGTAGGCTCAGGTGGACTCCTGAAGACGGCAGCAGTTAGGCTTCACACATGCTAAGGCTGGATGATACCTGCCTTAGCCTTGACAGCTCTTGTCTTTAACCTTATTGGCTGCCCAGGATCCTCACCCCAGGGCTTTAACTTCATTAATACATAAGGTCTTAGCCCCATGCATCCCCAAGCAAGTTTGAGCCTTTCTGCCTGTACTTGCTCTGGTGCACTGAGGACCATGCCTACCTAGCCCTTGTGCCGCTTTTCATGGTATAACTGCAGCACCCCGGGGAGTTTACTTCTGTGTGACTCCTTCATCCATCTCTGGATATAAACTGCTGAGGTGACTCAGGGTGGGTCCTGGGTGAGTTTCAAGGGAGGGGCTTGCCCAGACAGAAATCCTAGGCAAGTAATTAGAGGGCCAGGAAATGAGATGTGGCCCCCTCTGTAGAGAAGAGATGGAGCTATAGGTAGCGTTCAAACCTCATAGCCAGTGATGAAACCAGTCACCCCTAAGTGCTGACACCCCACCAAAGCCTCCAGATACGGGGATTTCAGGAGCCTCCACCCCCCACACCATTGATAAACATTCCCAATGTATCAAGAAGCTAGCACCAAATCTCTGTGAGGATAGGAGCTCCTGAGTTAGTCACCTCCCTGGGTTTCCACACTGTATACCACATGGCTGTTCATTTTTATGCTTTATAATAAACAGTGGCCTTGAGTACATCCTTCCTTCCCTATCCTGATAAATTATTAATCCAGAAGGGGGTCATGTGTACAACCCACACAAATATGGACCCACAAAGAGCACGGTGCTGAGACTTAAAGGGGACAGAAGAAACCCCTCATTCTCTCCCATCAATGTCCTCTCAACATCTTGCGGGTAAGTTAAAGTCATGGGGAGCTGAATAAGAGAGAAGTCACAGTGATCAGGGAACATGCCATCATTGGTTATTGCTGTCCAGCCCTTTCTCAGAAAATTGGCAATTAATGATTATGAACAAAAAATAATTAAACCCAGGCTCACCAGTGCAATCATGTCAAGATAAGTAAGTGGGCATAACTAATAAGGAAAACATATATTATTATTATTATTATTATTATTATTATTATTCGGGGAAATCTGATTCAATCAGTGCTGGAAGGAATGTAAAATCAGAAACATCACCATTTTGTAAGCTCTGGTGATGTAATGACTAGCTGTCACTGGATGGGGCCACTAGATGCAATGCTGATGGGGACACTATAACCTGGGTCCAGATGTCACCTCCCAGCCCAGAGCTAAAGCTCACCAATGAGAGGGGAACAGTGCAGTTGGAGGTGTACCCTGGGTTCCATTGCATTCAAACAGCAAAGGATAGAAACTAGGAGAGAGACAGTCAGTGCTGGCATGTAGCCCACAACACAACCCATGTGTTCTTGCCAATTTGACAAAATCATTTTGTTAGTTCAGCATCAGCATTAGCTACAAGGAACAAAAGAAGGGGCTGTGGCAAAGGCAATGGTTAAGTGCTTGCTGCACAAACACAGGGACCCAACACCCACATAAATGTGGGGCGTAGTGGCATGCCTATAACCTGAGAGTTGGAGGGAGGAGACAGGAGGCGCTCAGGAGCTCTCTAGCCAGACAGGCTAGCCAAAATAGCAAGCTCAGTTGAGGGGCCCTTCCCTGCTCTGTGTGTGTGTGTGTGTGTGTGTGTGTGTGTGTGTGTGTGTGATCGTGCAAGTGCCCAAATTTGTGTGCCTGTGTGTGTGGAGATCATAGGTCAACCTCAGGTGTAAATTCCTCAGGTGCCACCATCTACCATGATTTTTGTTGTTGTTGTTGTTGGAATTTTTTTTTTTTTGAGACGGGGTCTCACATTGTGACCTAAAGCTTGCTAATTACAATGGGCTGGCTGGCTGGTCCCAGGAATCCTCCTGTCCCTGCTTCCCCAGTGCTGGGATTACAAATGTGTGCTACCATGCTAGCTTTTTAGATGGGTGCTGGGAAGCAAGCTTGGGTGCTCATGCTTACAGCAATTGCTCTACCCACTGAGCCACCCCAAGCCCCTCTTTGCCTTTCCTCTCTCTTCTGTGATATTCTCCACAGGTGCCAACACTGTCCATAGATGGGCCTACCATGATAAGGTCCCCTGCTCTGACTTGACCAGTCTCAGAGGAAAACAAGCCCAGAGGCAGGCTGGGTGCTGGCACTGAGGCCCTGTACCACAGACTTTGGACAAGCCCTCTAGCCACAGGTCTGCCTTGCAGTCACACTCATCCTGAGCCATAGGTCACTCATGTGGCCTTGCTCTGGCCATGGCTTCCTCTTTGCTGGGGATGGGCACCTGGTTGCTAGAGTAACTGGGCACAGGATACAGGTCCCAGTCTATGTATGTTCTCGTTCTCTTCCTGATGATTCTGGGAACCAGGAATCCATTCACACTCAAGGTCCTGGTTCCACCTTCTCTGGCTTGCACATTTTGTCAGCTCAGTTCTCCTCATCATCCTCCCCCCCCCCCCCCCCCCGTGTGTATTTGTGTGTGTGCAGGTGTGACTGTAGGTGTGGGTGTGCAACCATGGGTGAGTGTGAAGATCAGAGGACATCTTTTAGGTTCCCTCCTTCCACCTAGACAAGAAATAAGGGTCTCCCTTATTTCTCCTGCTGTGCTGTGACTTCCAGGCCAGCTGACTTGGGAGCTTCCGGTGGATCCTCCTGTCTCTACCTCCCAGCTTGCTGTAGAAGTTACAGGATTACAGATGTGTGCCACCACATCCTGCCCGTTATCTACTTGAAATAGTAATTCATGGGATTGGCCTTCTTTCTCCTATTTCCCCGTGTTCAACTTCAATCAGAGTCTCAATTGAGACAAGGACAAGACTTGGAGGGGTCAGCAAAGTTGCCTGGATTTCCAGTATCCTGAAATAAGTAAGGGATGACAATGGATGCCTCCTGGGTAATGCTCTGAGGCAGCCCCGCCTCCCACCACCTTCCCAAGAGGTACTCCAGCAGGCAAAAGACTGGACCATGAGCAAAAGTCTCCAGCTGGATGGAACAAGGAGGCAACTGTGGATTCCAGGAGGTGGGGTGGGTGGGTAGATAGCTGATGACCTCCTGGAGGGGCCTTGAGGTTCACATGGGCAGAACAACACATATTTGAGAGAGTACCAGCCTCTGTGGACATAGTTCTTTATTAGCATTATGGGGAATCCCCATAAGTGGGAGAGACGCACACACCCCAAAATCAAAGTAGAATTTAAATAAAACTATACCAATTAAAATAGAACAACAACAGTTGTTGCTTCTCATACCCCAAAACACCCATGCTGCAGCCTGGTAGACATTTCCACCCATCCTGGAGCACTCCATCTTGTTTTGTATCCCTCTGTGCCTCCCTGCCTCTCCCATCTTTAATATTCCCATTCAGGGAAGCTGAGACTTTGCTGGGGGGTTGGGGGGGTGCTGAAGAGTGATGGGTCAATTCAATCTTCATTGGACAGAAAAGTAAATAGGCCTGGAGAGTTGGGGCCCAAAGTCAAGGTCCCTTATCAAGGACATGGCTAGGCTGGGACTTGAACCCAGCTACCCATTGCATCAGCACCGAGGTATCTCTCTGTCTCCATAGCAACCTTCAACAATGACTCAGCAGATCTTGTCCCAGAGCTGTCTGAGGAGCCCTCCTTCAAGCTCTGAGCAGCATTCTGGTTCAAACAGTCCTGGCATCCAGGGAGCTGTCTTTGATAGGATGTTGCAGCTTTGGAGAGAGAGAGAGAGAGAGAGAGAGAGAGAGAGAGAGAGAGAGAGATGCCTTAGTGGCTGGGCTTTTGGTTTTGTGCACAGTCTTACTGAACAAGCTGTCTGTCAATCACTCACTGAGATCCACCAAGAACAAGTACACTATCCCTAGGGAGCTAGCTGCAACCTCTCCATACTTCATGCCCCTCTCCTATTCCTCCCACTCCCCACCTCTCTTCCTGGGTCTCTTCCTTCACTGTGACGCTCTGCCTTTTGCTGTGGCTGTGCTTTCTGCCACCTTGTGTTGTTGAAGAGAATTAAATTCACCAACAAAGAACCAGTAAAACCCTAAAATGTGCTTAGGTGCTGGGAGAAGCCATTGAAATAGGATTGGGCCACAGAGGGCCATTCTGAGTGGTGGTCTCCCAACTAAGGCATCTTTCAGTAGCCTACAGGGTTTGCATACTGTACTAGGGGAGATAGGGACAGGTTGGAACATGGCTCAGAAATACTTCTTCCTTGGCATCCACATGCCCAAAGGACACTGGACAGATGCCGGAATTAACCCCAATTAACAGTGTGGCTTTTCCGAAATCATTCTTCTATCTATATGGAAACAGCTCTTTCCTGTGAATCTCAAATTTGACCCTGTGAATTCACAGCATGAAGTTCCAAAAGATTCCTAGCCGCTCTGTTTTGAGAAAGGGTCTCCTGTAGCCCAGGCTGGACTCAAGCTCTATAGGTAGCCAATGATAACTTTGAACCCTTGATCTTCCTCCCCCTACCTCCTAAATCCTGGGATCACAGGTCTAAAATCCATATTTTTGATAGTTATCTTCCAAGATTGGGTGTGGGGGCGACGCCCAGTGCCTGTCTGAGTTTGAGTTTGAATCGTTAGCACCAACATAAATCCTGGCACGGCCGGCCGTGTGTCCCTGCAACTCCAGTGCTGGAATACAGAAGGCAGGGGGATTGCTGGTGGTCAGTGGCCAGCCAGCTTAGCCTCAGTGATGAGTTCCACGTTCAGTGAGAGACTGCCTCAAAAAACAAATAAGGTAGAATGGGCCTCCATACAGACATGTATATATCATAAACCCATGTGAACACACACACAGAGTGTGGTGGGGAGAATGAGAGAGATTTGGGGGAGAGAGTTATCTTCCAGGACTGTCAACCTCACAAGACCTAGAGCCACCCAGGAGACAAACCTCCGGTGGTGTCTGTGAGGGAGTTTCTAGATTGAGTTAGTTCATGTGGAAAGATTCATCCCAAATTCGGGCAGCAATACCCCGTGGGTGGTGCCCTGAACTGAGAACAAAGGGGAAAGTGAGCTGGGCACCAGTGTTCGTCTCTATCTGCTTCTTAACTGTGGATACCACATGACTAGCTGCCATGCCTTCCACACAGTAGTGGGCTACACCCTCAAACAATGAACTGTGAACTGGAATAAATCTTTTCTTCTTAAGTTGCTTCTTTTTTTTTTCCAAGACAGGATTTCTCTGTGTAGCCCTGGCTACCCTGGCACTCGCTCTATAGACCATGCTGGCCTTGAACTCACAGAGATCTGCCTGCCTCTGCCTCCCGAGTGCTGGGATTAAAGGTGTGCGCCACCATGCCAGGCCAAACCCTTCTTTTTGAGTTGCTTCCTATCAGTTATTTTGTCTCAGCACCAGGAAAACTGTAGATGCTAAAGGGCACCAACAGAGACCCTTGCTGCTCATGGATAGAAGACTCCATCTTGCCAAAACGATGGATCGGCACACAGATCGAGGCTGGCCCTCACAAAATCCCAGTGACTTTTCTTGCAGAAATGAGCAAACATATCCTAAGATTCATGTGGAACTTCAAATGACTTCTGCAAAAGCCAAAACAATGTTAAAAAAAAAAAAAAGAAGAGAAGAAATGGGACCTCTGTGTGACCCCTCACCTCCGGGATATATCAGAGGAGAAGGGACACAAATAATTTAAGAGCTGGAGACAACAGGGCCAGGGAAAGCTAACTTCCGGG